AAAAAAAAAGAAAAAAAATTGAGTTTAAGAAAAAGAAACAAATTTAAAAAACGAAGTTGAAAGTTGTGAAAAAAAATCCAGAGAGGCTAGTTGTTTAGAAAAGAAAAGCTATCAAATTGGTTATAAGACAGATAACTAAAATGTAGACTAACTTGTGAAAACATCTAAAAGAATGCAGTTAGATTTTCACGGTCTTTAAGTTCTCTCTCCAAAAACAAACAAAAACTAGAAATTGCAGACTATGCATTATGTATATGGTTGAAAAAAGAAAAATGGTGCGGAATGCCAATTAGAGGGTACATGCAAAGAAAAGACCTGGACTCTGTGTTAGAGGATCGGCAAATGTTCATGAATTTATGTATTTTGAAGTTAAATAAAATGTTTAAGATAACATATGTCTTCTGTAAAGTTTTCTTTGCCATAACTGACTTCTTTGGACTCACTACCCAACTCTTAGTCTTGACTGCATTGGACAGGAAGATTTCTACTGTGTTTTCTAGGGACCAGGGGAGAAGGGTTTCATTTATTGGTTTTTATCAGAATAAGTTTGGGAACTTAATGGTAAATGATGTTTAGAAGTTTCCTGTACTCCAGACCTCAGAGCCTTCCCCATCCTCCTGTACACTGTTTATCTTAAGGAGAGAGAATATGCAGTGTTTTTCTGTTTATTATCGATTGATTAATTTCTAAAATGTATTTGGCCTTGGGAAAAATCTTTTTCTCCCCTGGGGAATGTTTATTATCAACTCAGGAAACTAGGGTTCTGGGCAATAGTTTGAAAAACACCAAGTCCAAGACCCACGTGTATACTGCAGTAAGGCTTTCCAGTAAGGCTTTCAGCCTACCCACTTATTTGGGGCCCTGGCTGGTCAAAAGACCAACCTTGATGGCAGCTGTGTGCCTTTGGGTTTCAGTTCTGCCTTGGTGTAGGGCTCAGGGACATTCAGGCACAAAGGCCTAGTGGTTGTGTTGGGGAAGTGAAATGTCACCAAGCCAAGGTGCCTTTCCTAGAGGGGGAAGGCTGGGTGATGGTGTCGTTCAGACGCGGAGGGAGGGGAAGTGGTTTGGCCAACAGAAAGTAAATGTTTCTTGTAGTCAAATAACTGGGGACAGAGAAGGAGGGAGAATGAAAGTCCTAATGTGACCCCCAGTGCGCTGTCCTCCTCCCTCTTTCATGCTTCTGTCAAAAGCTGCTGCTTCATCTTAAAAAGCATTGACACTATACCCTGAAATAAGACACACCTGGAGACAGCCCACTCCTCTTTGCTGGTGGGAATCCCACTCTCCCTGATTCTCTCGAGTCCCACCTGCAGATGCAAATACAGACGTGAGTCTCAACTTGAACTTGTGGTGCCCAGCACTCTGCCAAGATATAATCCTGTCGGCTGAGCACAAGGCTAAACCACAACCAGCCCAGTGGACATCTGCCAAGCTCGAGATGTGTGACAGATGTGGGCCCTCTAGGCTTATCTGTGAGCTGGAGACCTGCCAGAACAGTACCCTGGAAGAAGTCTACAACTTTTTGTCTGAAAAATATGAACTTTATCTCGTCTAAGCTTAGACTTTAAACCATCTTAAGCGTCTTAAGCATCTTAAAAAGTGTGAATTTCTGGGTACATTAACTCTTGGATTTTCCACTTCCACTGTGTGGGGACAATGGTGCTAGAAAGGTCTTCTGGCCTTTATTTCTTAAAGGAAAAGCAAAACCAAATTTATATGTTTATTATGGAAAGTAGTCAATTGTAGGAGAAATCCTGGAATTGAAACCAGGACTCCCCTGTAAATAGCATAGTAAGTACAAACACCAGAAGCTCTGGCTCTATCACAGCCACACTTTGGGGAAGACTGTGCTGGGCGCTTCTCCTCGTGTGCACTGAGTCTCCTGTCAAATAGAAAAGCTCATCTGAAATTAGACACAGCTGGCCAGGGAGTGGGCCAATGGGCACTTTTGCGATAGCCAGCACCCCGCACAGAAAAGGGAGCCGGTGGGGCTTGCCTCCTGGGTGCAACTCCAGAGGTCTCTTTTTCTCAAGACTCCCCTGGATCACGCCCACGGAGGCAGGCCTGCCATGGTCTGTTCTTCCCAATGTAATTAACAAGCACGTGTGCCCTTGGTCTTCCATGTGGAAGTTAAGGAGTGCTCCCAGTCTCCCATTATTCTAGCACTGTCAGATTACTTTTAAATTTTATTTTATTTTTTTACAGGTAATGCATACACACAGTACAAAACTCAATATTATATTAAAAAAAAATTGAGAAGTCTTGTTGCCACCATCAATGCCCTTGCACCCCATTATGTCACCTCTACGTAAACACTTCTGTTTAATTTTTCATATATTCTTTCAGTGATTCTTTATGTATATATTAATTCTTTCATTCAATAACTATTCACTGAGCACCTACTATGTTCTCGGCTACCATATTTTTAGGAATTGCTTTAGGGATGTAGTCTCACCTCCATGGAGCAAAATTTCTTACTTTCATGAAGTTTATAACATAGAGGAGAGTAGACAACAAGCAATAAACATAAGATAAAAGAAAATAATGGAATAAGGAAGAATGGTTTCATGGAGATTTGAAGGGGGCATGTTGCAATTTTAAATAGGGAGTGGTCAGAGCAGTCCTCACTGCGTGAGTGACATTTGAAGCAAAGATTTGGATACGGTGAGGAATTTAGCGAGGAAGGTATCTGGGGCAAGAGCATTCCAGCAGAAGGAATACCCCTGAGAGGCCCTAAGCAGAGTGTGCCTGTCACATTTAAGGAATGCCAAGTATGGCTGGAATGGAAAGTGTGAGGGGAGAGTAGCCGGAGCTGAAGTCAGGGAAAGAGGGGGGATGAGGACAGATCATGCAAAGCCTCGCCGGGACCTCAGTGTTTACTCCGATTGTAATGGAGGCCCATCCCAGAGTTTGAGTGACATGGTCTGGCTTATGTTTTAATAGAATCTCTCTGTCTGCAGTTCTGAGACTAGACGGTGAAGGAAGAAAGGGTGGAAGAAGGGTGAGGATGGTTTGGAGGACATTGCAATAATCCAAGCAAGAGGAGATGGTGGCTCAAACAAAATCAGGAGCAGTAGAAATAGTACGTGGGCATCCTATGAAGTAAGCTCACATGGATTGGATATTATTGGGTGTGAGAGAAAGAGAAGAGTGAATGATGACTCCAAAATTTTCAAATTGAGCAGTTGGGAAAATAAAATTTCTATCAGCTGAGATGGGGAGGCCCGTAGATGAAGCAAGTGAGGGAGGGAAGATCAGGAATTTGATTTGATGCATGAATTAAGTTGTGAATGCCTTTTAGATATCCCAGAAGAGGTACTAAGTGGAAACTGGATCTAACTTTGAGAGCCATTGGGCTGTAACTGGATTTAGCTATGAGATGAGATAGCCAAGGGAACGAGTATACAAAAAGAAGGAGGGCCAAGGGCCGCTCCCTGGGTTATTCTAATGTTACGGTTGGAGGCAGGTGGGGAGAGACAGCAAATGAAATCTAGAAGGAGTAGAAGGAGCAAAGAGTGAGGGAGGAAAATTAGGACACGGTGGTGTCCCAATACCTAGGGAAGGAAGTTTCTCAGGCAGGAGAAAGTGACCAATTGGTCGCAGGTCTGCTGGTAGTCAGGTAAAAACATTGTAGCTTCAGTTACACGGAGATCACTGGTGTTTCTGACAAAGTGAGTTTCAGTGGAGGTGAGAACCAGGGAAGCGGGTTTAAGAGGAAGTTTGAGGGACGTTGAAGGCAGAGTGTCAACATCTCCTTCTATAATTTTGCTATAAAAGGGTGCAAAGAAGTGAGCAATAGCTGATGGGCACAGTGGAGCCAAGAGAAGTCTTATGATCTGAGAGAGAGAACATGTGCTTTTGTGACAGATCCAGGAAAGAGGGAAGAACCGATGGCACAGGAGAAAGGGAGATTTCTGGAGCCATCACCCTGAGTGGGCCTGAGGGGTTAGCCTTCCTCCTATTTCATCTCTCTTACCAAAGGTAGTGCTTTGTGCCCACTGTTCTGGCCCCTGCCCTTTACACGTAACAATCCGTAGCTCTTTTCTTATCAGTATATAGAGAATTCCCTCTTTCTTTTTTATAGCTGAATACTACTTCATGGGAAGGACTTGATGTAGTTGAGTAACTAGAGCTGAATGAGGGACATTGTGTTTCCACCCTTTTGCTGCCTGGGTAATGTCACTCTGGATAAGTGTGTACAGGCCACATCTCACGTGTCAGCCACGCTGCTGCTTTCTCCTGAGAGGCCCAGTTCACAGCCTGGCAGCTCTCAGGGTGCCTCATCTGGGACACTTTTTTCTCTCTTCTGGATTTTTTATTTATTATCTCTTCATTTTATTATCTCTTCTTTATTACTGTATATTCAAATTAGTTTTGCCCTGTAGCACTCGGAATATATTACTAATATCAGATAAATACAATAGCTGTTCATTTATTTCTGATAGTTGTGTTAGATCAAAATAATTGTTCACATATACATAGGGCTTTAATGAAAATAGACGTCATGTGGGATCAGTCCCATTTGATTTGGGGTTTTTCCTTATGGTATCAGAACACAGTCCCTGGACTTTAAAGGTGTTTTTCCAGAGCTTTGCATTAAGAATCTTGTTAGGCTCTTCCTTCCTCCCATGTCCCAGAGCATCCTGGGTCCTCAGCTATCCCCTGCCCCCAGCTCACCCATTAGTTCTGTGTGCAGTTGACCCTGAACAACATAGGTTTGACTGCGAAGGTCTGTTTATAGGCAGAGTTTTTTCAACCGCATGCAGATGGAAAACACAGTATGATATCTGGGAAATAATATCCACCTATATGGAGAGGCTGACTTTTCTTTCTTTTCTTTTCTTTTTCTTTTCTTCCCTCCCTTCCTCCCTCCCTTCATTCCTTCCTTCCTCTCACTCAGTTGCCCAGGCTAGAGTGGTGTGGCATTGCCCTAGCTCACAGCAACCTCAAACTCCTGGGTTTAAGCAATTCCAACCTCAGACTCCCAGGTTTAAGCAATTCTCAGCCTCCCGAGCAGCTGGGATTACAGGTGCGCAACATGATGCCCACTCATTCTACCATTTGTGGTGGTAGAAATGAGATGGGGTCTCGCTTCTGCTCAGGCTGGTCTCAAACTCCTAAGCTTAAGCACCCTTCCCACCTCAGCCTCCCAGAGTGCTAGGTTTACCAGTGAGAGCACCTCGCCCAGGCTGTATGAACTCTTATACTTCTCATACTGCAAGTTCTGCAAGGCCAACTACAGGACTTGAGATGTGTGGATTTTGGTATCTGTGGGGCTCGTGGAATGAATTCTCTGGATATACCCAGGGGTGACTGTATTTGGAAATGACCTTGTATCCGGTATTACATTTCACAGGCAGTAATGATCTTTGTGATACTAGCAACAGGATGTTTTTTCCCCCTAGATCTGTGGAAACACCAAGTCATGAAGGAAAACTTTTCAGTTGTAAGACCCCAAATAGTTGAAAAATTTGCACAGAGATTAATGGAGAATTGCCAGGATGGTGGACAAGAGGTATGTATTGCAAATCAGTCGTTCTGCCTTTTTTCTTTTTTTTACATAAACCCTAACAAGGAAGACTTTCTCATTTACCACATTTCCTGGTGCTTCCTTTGTAAGAATGATATGCATACTGAGGCCAAACCCCAAATAGTAATCATTAGCTTTTAATTTTGGAAAAAGGCTTATTTCTAGTAAACATGTGTGTAATTGATATACATATGTTGGCTGATTTCAAATCTTGTCAATTTTTTAAAGTAATCTTGGGGTTCACTTATGAATGAGTTTATTTTTAGCAACATTTTCTGTTGTGGATTTGTTAGTATAGAAAATTTAAGACAGGAAAACCAAAAAATCCTATAATGCTACTTTCTAGAAAACATTTTAAAAATATGCAATGTGGAAAAAAAACCCAGCAACACAGACGGTCAGATTTTTACCCTCCCCTCCTCTCCTTTCCCCGGTTCCCGCTCCCCAAAGGAAACCTACATCAGCATTTTTTGTATGTGCCCTACCAGAAAAATATACATAAATATACGTATTTAATACCCATGAATACACACAACCCTTGGAGTTTGGAAATGTGTTTACTCTTGGCAAGAAGTGCCTTGCTAAATCAAAGGGATCCAAGAAAAGGCAGGACAACAGGGTTTGTGTGGACGTTTGGCCATAACAGCTTGTAGGAGTGTTAACTAAGGGCTTTAGGTAGAAATCTGACCTGGCAAAATGTTTTCCTTTTTTTTTTTTTTTTTTTGCAGTTTTTGGCCAGGGCTGGTTTTGAACTTGCCACCTCTGACATATGGGGCCGGTGCCCTACTCCTTTGAGCCACAGGCGCCGCCCATGTTCTCCATTTTTTAAACACGTTTTCTCCACATTCAGATTTTTCTAAGTTTTTCAAATATTCTCTATCAATTTACAAGACACACTTCGGTTCTTAATTATGAGGTAGGGAACTTATACGTTGGCTAGAGATACATTTTTCCCAGAACTTGATGATTTACATGTGTTTGTTTGAGCTTTCAATTATACACCAACACGGGGCTCTCGGGAGAGGGGGAAGTAGTCTTCCGCTCTCAAGGTACAGATGTGATTAGGGTAAGGCATGCTCAGAAAAATGTTTGAATTAAAAAATTTTGTGGCTCACTTTTAAAAGGAAGGAAATTCTGGGCGGCGCCTGTGGCTCAAAGGAGTAGGGCACCAGCCCCATATGCCGCAGGTGGTGGGTTCAAACCCAGCCCCAGCCAAAAATTGCAAAAAACAAAAAAAAAAAGGAAGGAAATTTTGACGCATGCTACAACATGGGTAAATCTTGAAGACATGATCGAAGTGAACTAAGGCAGTCAGTCACAAAAGCACAAATACTGCATGACTCCATTTGTATGAGTGACTCCAAGAGGTCAAATTCACAGAGGATGGTGGTTGCCAGGGGCTGGGGCAGTGTTTTTCAACCTTTTTAATCTCACAACACACTTGAACCTATAGTTAAATTTCCATGGCACACTTAAATTATGTTGATCGAAAACAAGAGTTAAAAAAAAAAAAAGAATATACTCACCATGCTTTGAACTTCTTTTGAAAGTAATTTAATTAGTGATCCTTAAAAATTTTCATGGCACACCTGAGATCCTCTCACGGCACACCAGTGTGCTGCGGAACACTAATTGAAAATCGCTGGGTTAGGGGAGGAGCGAAGTATTGTTTATGGAGTTTCAGTTTTGCAAGAGAAAGAGTTCCGGAGAAGGATGGTGGTGGCAGTGGTAGTAGCACAACAGTGTGAATGTACTCAGTGCCACTCACTGTACACTTAAAAATGGTAAAATGGCAAAGGTTATATATATTTTACAACAATAAAAACAATGTTGTGGCCCAAGTTCATTTCCGCCCCTATCTGTATGCTTCACCCCAATCTTGAGGGCAGGACCTTGTTGTAAAGGAACATGGACATTAGAAGGTAGGATAGGAAAGTCCCAACTACCAGGGAGGCCGAGACAAGAGGATTGCTCAAGCCCATGAGTTTGAGGCTGCTGTGAGCTAAATCACCATGGCAGTCTACTCAGGGTGACAGAGCGAGACTGTCTCAAAAAAGAAGGCAGAGCAAGCCACATCAGGCACAATTGGAGTTTGGGGCACACTTGAAGGGGTGGTGTCACCTGGTTGTTTTGAAATCACAGCCCCTCAGGGTGCTTGGGCCCCTCCAGAGTCTGTGCCTGATGGGCTTCTAGATATCCCTAGCTTCTAGATATCCCTACTAAGATGGACTTGGTCCCTCCCTCATCTGCGTCATGCATCGTCCATCCCTGAGACACAACAGGTCATGGTTCTAAGCCCTGCTAACAATTCTCAGCCTCCCAAGATGCCAGAGGGTTGTTCAGTAAGAGGGGCTTATGAGAGCCACTGCTAACGTGTATGTGAAGACTCAGCAAATTACCCTAAAGGGGCTACTCTAGGAGGACGAATCAGAACAGGATCCCTCTGGCTGGGGGTTACAAATTGCTACCCTTTCCTCCCGACAGTGCAGCCCTGGGCCAGCACACTTGAACTGGAATGTGGAACATACGCTGGGCACCCCCTCCACCTGGATGCCCCTGTGCCGGGCACAGACTGCCCGCACCTACCATGGGGACCTCAGCCTATCTGCTCTTTTCAGACTCACTAAGCCAGCTCCACTTCCCACACTCACTTTGCATGGGCGCCCTTGCCATTCTGGGCGGTCTTCTTAGTGCCTCAGTCCCAAGACTCTGTTTGATTAACACCCACGAGGGCTGGCTTTGTGCAGCCATGTCCCAGCTGATGCATTGAGTGGCCACCTGATGCCCCCCCCACTGCGTTCCACAGACATTCTGCTGCTACCATATCATCAGTCTCGCTCCCATTCAGCTTGGTCTACTCCTGAACCTCTTGAGATCTTTCAAAATCGGAATTTTTTAGTCATCCAGCCCATTCTCCCTCTCCCAGGCTAACATCAGCCTGTCCTCAGTATCCTCATTGGAGTCACTAATATGGCATATGACAAGACAGGCCCCCACCCTATGTTGGCCACTCACGGTCCTCCCAGGCTGGGCGGGTTCTCAGATGTCCTGCTGAAATCTCGGTATACTGCATCTGCTGTACTTCCTGAAGAAACAGGGTGAATCTGACCTGACTTTTCCTGAACCCATGTTGGCTTTCTAGTGATTTTTGCCTCCTTCTCCAAGTTTTAGAAAACCAGCCTTTCGTAATCAGTACTGACATTGTGCCCAAATTTTATACCAAAAACGCTGGCCTGAAGTCAAAGATTGACCTTTTTGCAAATCAAAACTATCATAGTCTATTTTGGGGGTTCCTGAACTATTTGAATTTGTGTACCGGGTGTTATTCATTCATCTAGTAAGTGCTTATAGGTTTCCTACTTTTCCCAGGCTCTTCATTAGAGATATAAAGGCAGAAGTAGAGCCCCGTCCCCAAAGAGCTTACGGAGACAGGTGAAGTGGCAATGTCAGGAAAGGGCAGCAAGAGCTGTGACAGCGTTCACAGGCTGTGTGTGAGTTTAGAGAGTGAGGACACCCCACTGAGGGGGCAGGAGACAGTCAGGGAAGGCTTCCTGGAGGAGGTGTTGTCTGGGTCAAATCTTGAAGCACCAGGATTTGGCCACATGAAGAGAGACAGGGAAGACAGAGGAAGATGGAGGAATCTAGGAAGGGAGTATAGAGAGTTTTGGAAGGGCCTTGGGAAGGTGGGCAGAGCCACAAGCCGGATGGCCTTGTGAGCAATCCTTGGGAATTGGCATTTTATCCTAGAGTCAAGGGGCAGTCACTGAAATATTCTATCAGCAGAGAAGGAGGTTTTGGAAACAGCTTCAGTGCACACCGTGCATGCCTCTTGTTACACTGGTATGACGTGCAGGGAGTCCCTGAGTTAGAAACATCCGACTGATGCGTGACTCGCCCTTATGAACAGAGGCTATTACAAGTAATAGGTAAATGTACCTGTTCCAATTTACATACAAATTCAACTTAAGAACAAACATACAGAACCTATCTCAATCATAACCTGGGGGCTGCTTGTATCCCAAGATGAGGCAAACCCCAGAAGTTCGTTCTGCTCCCAGAAGGCTATGGTGCCAGATTTTGCCACAACAAGGCCTGGCACCTGCCAGGCTTCCCCTCCTCCTCCATGGCTCTCTTGAAGAATCCCTGGGGAAATTTGGTGCTCTTCCTGCCAGGGCCATCCATCATGGCTCAGGTTTAGACATCAGTGATGGAATCAGCCTGGCGGAGGGTGGTGCTGATTGCTGTGGAGAACTGGGCTGACGGCCTTCCTCTGCAGCTCTTATGCCACCCGGGCTTTTGGAGAGAAAGTTGGCAGATAAAGTCTACCCACACTGCATTGTGACACAAGCACAGCTGATATTTATGGTGACCCAGGAAGGCAGGGACAGGAGGCAAAGTAGCTTTTAGGAAATAAATTGACCTGAGGAGGATTGTGCCAACAGAAACCACACAGGCTGTATGTGGTCCAGCTCAGGGCTGCTTCCAGAAGGCTGAATGCACAGTCAGTGGGGCAGAAGTTCATCTGGAGAAAGGGGCTGCTGGGAGTCCCCTACACTTCCCCCTCACTGTCAGTCACAGCCTCCTGTCTGCCTACTTCTGCCACCTCCACATTCCAGGTCCCCTGCAGAGCTCTGCCTCATTCTCCCCCCTCCCTCATCCAGCCCCAACTCCACTCTGGGCTACACCCTCCAGCTGATCTCTCAGCTCAGCCTCTTGAGGCCACAGCAGAGCCACCCTGAGAAGGAAGTAACACAGCTTCTTTGCCTCTGAAGGTGCCCAGGGGAAGTCCCAGCCATCCCCATCTCTTTGGTGTCACAGACTTGCCAAAGGGTTCCTCACCCTGGCAGGGAAAGCATCATGTTGGCTAAGAGGTCCGTGGCTCAATTCTGCATTTGTTTGTTTGGGACCCTCTATCTGCAGGGGCTGGGGCAGTGGTAGTTTGACAAGTGTTTGCCCTGCATGGGAGCAGTTTGAGGCCTTGTAGGCACACCCATGTCCTGGCACTGATGTCCAAGACAGTAAAGGGTGAGTCATTGTGGCTGGCTCTGGGCACTGGCTGGATGAGGTCACCGGCCACATCTTGCTGGCCTCCAGTGTGGTATTGTGACTTCTCACAGCTCAAGGCTCCCATCACCAATGGGAAGTGTTTCCTTTGTCATGCAGGGATATGGTGACCTTTCACCATAGAAAGTCAAGGCACAGGGGATAGCCTTGAGTTCCTGTGCCTTATGTCAGCCTCTAACATATGGCTGCCCTGGTGTTCTCCTTCTTGGGAGAGCAGGACCAGAAGTATAACAGGCAAAATGACCTGCCCTCACCCCACCCTACTGGAGGGGCCCATTGAGGAGGGCTCCTGAGAGGGAGGCAGGAGAGACTGAGCCCCGGCCCCTAACTGCCTGGCTAGTGCTAAGTCCAGCCCGCGCAGAGGTCTCCACCTGCAGATTCCACGGCACATACCTTGATTGCATCCTGCCAAACTGGTAGAGTTAGTAACCTCGTTTTTAAAAAAAAGTCTATCTTTTAATTAATATATGCATTTTAAATATATTTATATAATTTTAATTATATAGCATATATAAGATTATATCATGGTAGAAAATACATTCATGTTTTAGAAAATACACTCAGTCTTATCACTGATTGATAACCACTAGTATTATTTTGACACATTTCCTTCCAAACTCTGTAACATTTTTCCTATCCATGGCACTTTTTGTTTTAAAAAATAAGATTATTCTGTGTGTTCTCTTTGATAGTGTGCTCTTTTACACTTGAGTATATGTTATAAACATCTTTCCTTGTCGATAAACATATGGCCCTTTTATGGTGGCCATTTAGTACATTCTCGTGTAGGTGAGCCATGTGGAGTCAACTCATTTGCGTTGGTAGGCAATTTAGATCGTTTCCATGTTTCTTTTCTATCGGAAAAAATATATAAGGAACACCTGTTTGCATATGGTTTTGTGTGCAACTTTTATTCCCTAGAGATAAGTTCCTAGAAGAGGAATTACTGGGTCGGAGGCCACAGACAAGTGAAGCAGGCCTCCGGCACTACGTCTGACTTCCCCTCCACCCTCCTTCCTCAGGAAGTCTCATCACCACCTGCCAGCTCTGCTAGTTGTCTCAATAATTTACCTTGGCTGTCCCCAAGCTTCCCCGGAGATCAGTGGGGCCCTGAGATTGCAATGACGGAGCCAGAGGGACCACCCCAGTCTCTGAGAGAAGGCTAGCTTCTACAGTAGACTGCCAATGAGCCGGGAACCAGCCTGACCCGGAGAGTGTCACAGATACAGCTCATGTAAGAGGACCGGCTGAGTGTTAGACTTGGCCCCAGAAGGGCCCCCGCACCCCCAATATACACACACAGATATACTCACTGATAACACAGCAAACACAGACGCTCCTGCAGACACGCAGGTCCTAGCTGCATAGATATTGGCTCTCATTTTTCTCCAGAGCCTAAATTTAAGCCTGCCTTGGAAGGGTGGACTTTTCCTCTGTTTCTACCTTTTCAAAAGTGTGCCCTGGAGACAGAGGAGATAGGTAAATGGAATTGCCTAGAGAATGAGCCCTGTGACCCCTCACCCAGAGCAGGAGGGGCCCCTTCCAGATGCTCCATTCTTCAAAGGGCCCCTGTCTGGCCTTCCCCCTGCAATACCCTCTCCACACGGTAAGACATGCCCTGGGCTGTGGGGACATGTCCACTCACAGCCCCGCCTTCCTTCCAGAGCACATCACAAGGATCTAGGATGCTGGTTTCCTTGACTCTGGCCTGCGTGTGCCTCCTCTCTAGACCTTCCTCCCGGAGGGAGAGTGGACCTCACCACTGATGTGCATGCTGGCCTGGGGGTGGCCAGGGGTCACTGTAGGGAAGTGGATGGAGTTTGGACATGTGGGCCGGGGTGTCCACTTGCAGGCATGTGAGGCCCCTCACAGCATACTATAAACTGTGGTTGAGGGGCCAGCTCTCCCTAGGTCACCACCCTTCTGCATAGAACTCACAATAGTCCAAGAATAATAAATTCAAACCTGGCCCTCTGTCTTTTTCACATGGCCTATTTTTCAAGGTAGGAGAATTAAACATTTCATTTTACCAGTCTGTTAGTTTGATTTATAACCTTTAAATATTTCAACGCATGCATGGGGGCCTCCATTCCTCTTGTCCCTGGAGGTGCAAATGTTCAGAGCAGACCTGAAAGAGAGGTTTGCAAATGAGTGCTGATGTTTGGGTACAAAGGAGAAATGACAGCTGGTCTATGAACCAAAGTGGCGTGTGCCCACAGCCTGGCGAGGCTGCCCTCTTGGAGTGGCCATGAATGACGCCTCTTCCTTTTCAGGTCACTTTCAGGAAAGACCACCTTGATGCCTGCCTCCTGTCCCTGGGTTGCGATGTGATGGCAAGAGAGCGCAGCAACTTTGAGACCTACTCCATGAGCTACGAGCAAGTGCTGCAGCACGCCACAGTGACGCTCCGCAGGAAGGAGCAGGTGGGCGCCCGGGAGGATGGGAGCTGCAGTGGGGACAGGTGTGAGCAGGGAAGCCCAGGGGTCACTCAGAAGAGGAAAATAAAGCTGAGAGGGGGAGGAGGCGAGTGGTTTTAATGGCAGAACTGTGGGTGAATGATCCTCTTTCCACATTCCTCTTCTTAATTGTTCATTTTCCTGGGCTCTGCTATTCTCAGTTGCAAAAGTGATGGCCCCCGTTACACTGGGTTATGTGCTTCGGAGGTGTCCCATGGGGAACAGGAGAGGTGGCCAACAAAGGGGCTGGCCCCCAGGGGAAGGTGAATAGCTCACCTTCCCACCTCCCAAACACAAGGCACCCTATGCTGTTCCTGGGCTGGTGAAGAAGCCAGGTCTGTGAGCAAACTGTGTTCAGAGTGCTTGGCATGTTCAGTCCTTAAGGAGAAGTCCCACTGCTGGGATCCACAAGTCACCGCCCCTGCCCCGGACTGTGCACTGCCGTGGAGTAAATGGCACCAGAAGTCCAGTGTGGTTTTAGTTTATACCTAAGAAAAGTGCAAAAGTCTGCGAGACTAATCAAAATCTCAAAGGAAGCACTAAAATGTCAGGCCCTGAGTCTGGGATTTGCCTGCGTTTTACCTCATCCCCATTGCTGAGTTCTCCGCATCCCTGTGGGTACTGGAAGTTGATGTTGTCTTTTGATGCTGTACTGGACATCCTGGAGTCCAAGGGACAAAAGCATAGTCCCAGCTCCAGGCAGAGCCCAAAGTTCCCAGCATGAGGTCCCATTAACACAAACAGGAGGTGTCCAGAGCGTGTTGCTCTGAAGCGTGTAGCCCTGGATGAAGCGCACACGTTTGAGTTGGGTTGTGCCCTGCTTTCTCCCCCTCAGGAATTGGAAGCGATGCGAAGAGGCCAGGATCCACCCGAGGGCGACGCTGGCCAGGTAGGCCACTTACTAATATTATAAACAGGTTATCCTCTCCATTTCTCACATCTGCACTCAGCGTTAGCCAGAGATGGGACATCTCAGTGTCATTGGCTTGTGTCACCTGTAGAAGTCACCTGGAGAAGTCCCATCAATGACGGTCCACTGCAGAAACCCCTGAGAATGTACTTTTTTTTTTTTTTTAAGTAATTCTGTTTGGAGGGCATTTGTTTCCTTTTTCATTGGCTTTTTAGTTTTGTTATTTCATTTTTTTGTTTGTTTTTGTTCTTTGTTTTCTTTTGAGATTAAAGTATATTCTAAAAAAGAAGGCGTATTTGGGCTGAGGTGTCAAGGGAAAGTCATTTGGAAATGGAAGCCAAGAGAGTTGGAATATTTTCTTCAAGTAAAAAGTACTAAAGTAGTGGTATTCTGGGGGCATTCGGTCCAGCCAGGACATTACTGAGAATCAACTAAGTGTCTGGTCCTGTTCTGGGACTTCTGAGTCAACCTGGATTCTTCTGCTCACACTTGGGCAGCAGGAGGTTCCCCTCTGCATTGCACTCAACACAGAAGTGCGCATTCAGCACGCCCCTGCACGCACAGTCCTGCAGTAGCAGTTTGGAATTCCTGAATTGGGCATCCATACATATTTCTGCTTCTAGATTGCAGAGCTTAGTCACGATATGATCATGGAAATCACCGCTCTGAGAGCCCAACTCACAGACTTGGAAGAGGAGAATCTGAATCTCAAGCAGCAGATGAGAAAAGAAGTCCAAGAGGACTATGATGCATTAGTTCAAGCTCTGTTCAGGACCTGTGTACACATAAAAGTGAGTGTCACCTGTCAAATGTCTAAGCAGCCCATCTGGGAACCAGGCGTAGCTGAGTGCCACAGTGGCCACACAGAGGTCAATGACAGGATGGACTCTGTGTAACAAGAGAGCCTCAGGACCAAGGACTTCCCAGCTCTGGGCTTTTGCTGCAGAGTCAGCACTGGGTTGTCATCATTTTACCGGAATAGACACTGAATTTTGGATAATTTAAATGTTTGCTCTTCACAGTCTATTGCCAGTGCCATTGTGGCCATCTGTTGCTGTTGGGGGCGGGTTTCTGCTGCTCCAAACCCCCACCACTTTCTACTACTGTTTTGTCTGTTGAGTGTGACTATTCAAATGGGGCAAGATAGTGTTCTGGGCCAACACAGACCCCATGGAGGGGAATAGACACCTCCTAGGAGCTCTCTGAGCAGATTCAGAATTTGAATTGGCTTTTAGAGATTTGTCTAAACTCTCAAAATGCTTGCCAGACTTTGTCTGACATTCAGTGTCAGGGAGCCGCTGACATGTCAACCAAACCCCATCCCAGAAGAGAAGTGATGGGGTGCCATGTGCCTGCAGCACCGTGGAAGCCAATCACTTTCATCCGATGTCTGAGCAGCCGTAGGATAGATGCCCCATGGCTTAAATGACCCATCAGGAGACCTGGTCCAGCTGCCCCATCTGTGTGAATTTCAGTACAAAGTTACAACCCCCAACCCGCTCCCTTCCTTGTTATACCCAGAGCCAGCCCATTTAGGTCTCTCCCTAGGGGTTCCGAGTGGTCCCATTGTTGTTATGTTAATGGGAGTGTCCACCAATATTCACCTGGCCTGGTCATGCCAAAGAGGATTGGTGATTTCTCCCTACTTGCAAAGTACAGTTCTTATAAATACAAAAGCATCAAAACCAAGATTCATTTGGTTTGGTGCTGCTGGAGGTGGGATGAGCAGACAGTGAAGGCTGGAATTTGCCAAGTGATCTTTTGAATGTGAGATTATTGAGAATTTTCTTAAGTTCCTTTGAGCTTCTGCCAGAAGTGTCCTGCTGGACATGTGGGCCTTGGAGCAGGACAACTTGGATAAAAAGTAAAGTCTTGGGCAGTGCCTGTGGCTTAAAAGAGTAGGGCACTGGCCCCATATACTGGAGGTGGTGGGTTCAAACCTGGCCCCGGCCAAAAACTGCAACAACAAAAAAAAAGAGAAGTCTTTACTGCTCCCAGGCTAAAGGAGTTCTACCAAGCCCCCTCAAGTAAGGAATTCCTGTTCTACTGTAGGGTTCCAAGAAGGTGGTGAAGTTTCCACTGTGTGGCCAACAGCCAGGCTTCCTGCTCTGGCTCCCAGCTGGGCGCCATCCCCCTGCCATCCTCTCCAGGGAAGTGGTTCAGAAATGAGAGGACATCCCTACCCAGGCTGGCATAACAAAGTGCCATTGACTGGGTAGCTTAAACAACAGAAATTTACCTTTTCCTAGTTCTGGAAGCCGGACGTCTGAGATCAGTGGGCCAGCAGGGTCTGTTCTTGGTGAGGGCTTCCCTTCCTGGTTTCAGATGGCCACCTTCTCACTGTATCCTCACACGAGGGGATGGAAAGAAAAATCTCTCTGTCTCTCTCTTCCTCTTCTTAAAAGGCCACAGTCTTATCAGAATAGAGCCCCACTCGATGACCTCATTTTAATCTTAATTACCTCCTAAAGATCCCATCTGTAGATGCTGTCACAATGGGGGTTAGGGTTTCAACATACAAACTGGGGAAGACACAACTCGGTCCCGGAGCTGCCTCTGTGGTTGCACTCACCACTGATCAAGCTCCTGCTGTGCAGAGCAGAATGTTTCAGAATGAGGTTTTTTGCTGGAGCCTAAACAGGAAGGCTGCCAGCCTGGTTCCTTCCTCCACTTTATCTCCAGTTAATAGAGTCCCTTGGTGGTGTCCCATCCACAGTATCTTGTCTGGTCAGATTCTGCTCTGAGTCATCCTGGCAGCAAAAGTCCTTACTTCAGCTTTTCAAATAACTTACAGGGCACTGTGGTGGACGCACTTTCCCCCTGTGCCCATCCACTGTCCTCCCAGTCCCACTTGCCTGGACGTTGACAAGGAGGGCACACTCTGTGCAGCTGTGCCAGTGATGACGTCCTGTGGATGAAGGATGATCCCTGCAGGGCTGCTGGCATGATTTTCACACAATCCGTGTTGGGATCATTGTCCGGGTGGGAGATATTTCATTGTGGAATCATTTCCAAAAGTCAGGTTGTAGAAGGCGCAATGACTTTATCAACTGCCCTCTACTCCACCCAAAGCCATTGTACTTCCGTGACTTGAGTCTGCAATTTGTAGGAGAAGCTGGATGAGAATCAGCTTAATTTGATCCAGAAAGTGTGTGAACTCATCAGTGAAGTGAAAACAGAAGGGAGTGACACTCTGAAGGACCTAAAGAAAAAGTGGGGCTCAGCCAGACCTGGAGCAGGAATGCAACAAAACCCAGCCAAAGTATGTGATTTCGTTTAGCAATGGGGTATCAGTGAGTCCTCCCAGCATCTGGCCCCCACCGTGGGCCCTGTTTACATTCGCATGTGATGTCCCTGGGAAAGCATCAGGCATTTTAAAGGGGCCACTGGGACTCGCCACACCATTGTGTCATCTCCTGGCACGCTTCTGACGTTAGGACTCATGCCCTTCCCCGGAACATATTGGAGCCAGTCTTTTCTAAAATGAGCCTTCTTAGCAGGAGCAGCTGTGGGCCTTGGAGCAGGACAACTGCAGCCTGGCCGCCCTGGTGTGCAAAGTGAGGAGCCTGGGTCGCTGGAGGCTGGCCGTGCAGCAGGCGCACTTTCGGGCCCAGCTGAGCAGGGCGGAGGAGGTGAGTGCTGGGGAGGGAGGCCCAGACAGCCCAGCAGCAGGGCCAGTGGGCACTGGTATCAGGTAGCAGGGCCAACCATCTGGAAGGATCTGACAGTTGGTGGTTTTTCCTGGGGACAGGCAACATCGGAGCCTTGAGTGAAATAGAAAAGAGGCAGAAGCAAATGGTGAGGGAGATCCACCAGAGATTTAGCATGCCCGGGGTGCAAGGCGGAAGAGACTCTGCCGGGGCCAAGGCTGCTTTGTCAAAACACTCCATACCTTTGGGTTTCACACCTGATTCTCTGAGGAAAGTGAAGTAACCAAATAATAAATGGAACATCTGCTTTAAAGCAAATTGTAACCAAAGCTCATATGGATAATGCTTTGGAAACTTTCACTTACCGTTTCTGAAATTCTGTTCAGTCTCATCTGTCACACCGTCCTTATTAAAATCATGGAAGCAGCTACCAGCAGGCGCTCCCTCCTACCGGAAGCTGGAAAGAAGGGGGGACGAGGAAGTAGTTTAGATACTGCTTAGGAAGCTCAAAACGTGGAAAGGAAACTTATCTCCTCTCCTACTGTGTTTGGGATGTTTACAGGAATCTATGCAAAGTAAAAAAGAGTGTTTGAGAATCAAGCTGATGGCAGAACAAGAAGCGGGTTTATTTCGCCAGCAGTTGCTGGCTCTCAGGCGGGTCCTGGCCAGGGCCCAGGCGGACAATGCGAGGCTGTGGAAGCAGCAGGATGACCAGGTATCTGGGCCTCAGGCCCTCTTTCTCCCTGTCTCCGAACATGTCTGCAACGCTGAACATGGCAACTGGCCGCAGCCACTGAAGCGCCACAGTGTGAAGCCACACGAGGCATAGCCAGGAAGAGATGGCCTGGACTGGGGCTTTCCTTCCCACTCCTTTCCAGCCCAGAAACCAAAGGCAGCGGCTTTTGTTCTTAACTTATGTTTGGCTAAAATGATCAAATATTACCCAGAAGCAAGACTATTGTCTTGTGTGTATACATGTCGGAGGTGTACCTTTCCCTGTTTGAGGATCTTCTGCCCAAGGGTGACTTAGGACCCAGGACTCTGCCTGGCACACAGGCCTTCACAGTGCAAGCACACTGGGCTGACAGCACCCCTCTGCACGTGAAGAGTGGCTCAGCCTTCCTTACCATCCCCCAGACAGAGTCTTGGGTCCTGTCCCATTAAGTCTTACTTTCGAAAGTTACTGCTGCTCAAAGGGGGCTGGCACCCAAGTTACAGTGTTTTAAATATAAGTGTTTCCTAACTGTGCCAACCCTGCGAGCATGAATGAAGCAGAGACCCTGGGTTTAGAGTGAGAATGGCTGAGTTTAAAGAACAGCCTAGAAAAGCCAGATTGAAAGGCACCATACAAATATGAATAATCATTAATATTAAGTATTGATTAGTACTTAGGATGCTACTTATTAGAAAAACTTTGGAACAGAACCAAATTATCACTATGCCTTTCTTTCTTTAACCATCTAGAATCTGACTTCCCTGCAGCTGTTTTGGAAGTCAAAACAGAGCCGAAATCAGACCCTCCTTCCCACTCAGTGTGTGTGCAGTGGGACCCTGTCGCCAGGTGTTACGCCCCGAGCCCTCCACTACTTCCTCCTGATGAAGGCTCCATGATAGTGCGAATATCATGTGTGATAGATGTGTCACACTAATAAGCTAATTAACATACACATTATTATCAAATCTTGGTGCTAATCTGACCAAATCATTTGACTGTTACTTCCACAAAGTGGCCTGGTCGCTTGCCTGGCCTTTCCCGTTTGTTTGTTCTGCTTCCCTCTGACTGTGGCCTCAGGGCTTACAGCATCCATGCCAGGCCTGCTCATGCTCCCACCAGCAGAGGACAGAGCAATTGGATTATGTCACGAGAGCCAGGAATCCCTCTGTGGTTCTGCCCCTGGGCCCCGAAGGACAGGATGGTTGCTGTGATGCCCAACCCTGGCCTTCTGCCGAGAGGAGCTCTGTGCCTCTTTCCCTTCTGGCCTTCTCCTACCACAGGCTCAACTGCGGAAGGAGTTAGAGCACAGAATGGCCCAGGAGGCTCTCACCCAGCAGCAGCTGCTTGTCATGAAAACATCCAGCATGGAGAAGCTCCTAGAAGAAGTTGGACAGAAAGAACAGCAACTGCAGCTCCTGGCTGAGGAGGCTGAGAGGGCCTCTAGACTGGGCCGGCTGCAGCAGGAGAAAATGAAGAGGGAGCTCCACCAGGTGAACCCCGGGGAGGGGGCCCCACCAGGGGAACCCCGGGGAGGGGGATCCCCACCAGGTAAACCACAGGGAGGGGGATCCCTACCAGGTAAACCACAGGGAGGGGGATCCCTACCAGGTAAACCCCGGGGAGGGGGCCCTACCAGGTAAACCCCAGGGAGGGGGAGCCCCACCAGGTAAACCCTGGGGAGGGGGCCCCACCAGGTGAACCCCAGGGAGGGGGCCCCACCAGGTAAACCCTGGGGAGGGGACTCCACCAGGTAAACTCCAGGAGGGGGATCCCCACCAGGTAAACCCTAGGGAGGGGGCCTCACCAGGTAAATCCCAGGGAGGGGAGCCCCACCAGGTGAACCCTGGGGAGGGGGCCCCACCAGGTAAGGAGGAGGATCCCCACAGGTAAACCCCAGGGAGGGGGATCCCCACCAGGTGAACCCCGGCGAGAGGGCCCCATCAGGTAAACCCCAGGGAGGGGGCCCCACCAGGTAAGAAGGAGGATCCCCACAGGTAAACCCCAGGGAGGGGGATCCCCATCAGGTGAACCCCGGGGAGGGGGCCCTACCAGGTAAATCCTGGGGAGGGGACCCCACGAGGTAAACTCCAGGAGGGGACCCCCACGAGGTAAACCCTGAGAAGGGGGCCCCACCAGGTAAACCCTGGGGCAGGGTCCTCACCAGGTAAACCTCAGGGAGGGGAGCCCCACCAGTAAACCACAGGGAGGGGTCCCCACCAGGTAAACCCCAGGAGGGGAGCCCTACCAGGTAAACCCAAGGAGGGGGAGCCTCTCCAGGTAAGCCCCAGGGAGGGGGCCCCACCAGGTAAACCCCAGGGTGGGAGAGCCCTACCAGGTAAACCCCAGGGAGTGGGCCCTAGCAGGTAAACCCCAGGGTGGGAAAGCCCCCAGTGAGAGCCATTGCCACCTTTCTCTGCTTTTCCATGACTCTCTCCTGTCTGCCACAGGGGTGTTTCCCAAGCTTTGTCCCCTCTAGGAACCCCAGGGAAATGGTCAGATTCAGATTTACATTGTGGTTATTGCTGGGTAAGCAATGGCCTACTGGTAACCTGCTTGAAAAACATGTTTCTATCCAACTCTAATCCCTGAACTAGAACTTTTAGAAAATTCCAAGAAGCACTCTGGAAAAGCAGCATGTATGATGGACGCTATTAGATTCTATTCAGGTGTTTCTGGAACTGTAGAGACAAAATGAAAGGCAAAAGTGGTTTGCCAAAAGTAGCCCTATAGGAATAATTAACAAACTCATGCCACATTTTAATTATGTTGTATTTATGATATTTTTTGTATTTATATTATTAGAGGCTGGGTGGGGTGGCTCACACCTGTAATCCGAGCACTCTGGAAGGCCAAGGCAGGTGGATTGCTTGAGCTCCCAAGTTCAAGACCAGCCTGAGCAAAAAGTGAGACCCTATCTCTACTAAAAATAGAAAAACTGAGGCCAGAGGATCACTTGAGCCCAAGAGTTTGAGGTCACTGTGAGCTATGACACCACAGCACTCTATCCAGGGTGACAGCTTAAGACTCTGTCTCAAAAAAAGAAAAAGAGAGAGAGAAAGAAACAGTGCCCCACAGAGCAGGCACTTTACACATATCCATTCAATGAGTAAGTCACTTAATTCATTCACCAGGGATAATAGGAGATAGAAACTGGAAAGTTAAATTAAATTATTGGTCAAGCGTTTCATGCCTAAAGATTAGGAAGGAGAAATTCACAAAAATAATGACAAAAAAGGTTAAAAGTTGAGTTGAATAGAGGGAATGTTAAAGAAAATGATGGTGTAGAAGTAGAGTCATTTTGGAATAAAAGAAAGTCAGGATTTCGCATTGATTTCATGAAAAGTAAATGAAAATATGACTGAACCCATAAGAAAAATTTAGTATCCCACATTAGTCCTATGGACTATGCTTTTCTAAGAGCCACCACAGAAGGAGGGAGACAGTCCATAGACTAGTTTCTCCGATGAATAGTTAATTATCTGTTTCATGGCAGAGATTCGGGAGGTAGTCAAAACAAATAGTTTGAAGTTTCTCTTATTAAATACTTATTGTCACCATATGTATGTAAAAATCGTTGGTTCTTTCTAAATCATCCCTATAGCTCTCCTGACAGCTCATGTATCCCTGGGCCTACCCAGCCCCAGTAGCAACTGTCAGCCAGGGAGAGCCCCCGTGGTCCCCAGTGGCTTCTGTAACCCACCTCTAGCCTTGGACCCTGGGGGCAGGTATTGACTATCTGACCTCAAAGAGCACCAGTGTCCTTGTCTGCCTCCTACGCCCAGTAAGGTCACTTACAGCACAGGCCCTGGAGTCCCCCTGCCTGTTTCCTCATCCCCCCAGCCCTCCAGCTGTGTGACTTCAGGCAAGGTCTGTGGTCTTTCTGCACTTTCGTTTCCCCATCAGTACAGTGAAGATCATGTGCTCACCAGGAGGGATTTGGGGGAAAATTAAATTCAGTCCTTCCAATAAAGCACTTAGAACAGGGTGTCATATCCACCCTGGGAGCATGAAGGCAGACAAGCCTTGGGAACAGGTAGATAGACCTAGACTCAAATCCTGGCTCTGCACTCACTGGTCGTGTGACCTTGGTTGGACACGACACAATGCCTGCCTCCGTGACATGGGGTGTGGCATGCTAACACAAGGTAGGTCCATAGGAAGCACGTTCCTTCCCCTTGCTAGTACCCCTCAAGTGGTTCGTGCTGGCCTGGCTCAAAATATCTTGATCTGTTTCCCCAGGTTCCCGCCCATGGAAAATGGGGATCCTACCCCAACCCTTGTACATAGAGGGACTTTGGACCTAGTTTATATGAGCCAGTGTTCCTAACTCTAGACCTCTGATACACTTTACATTTGAGAGCCTCTACACACCCAAGGAACAGCCTACTCTAACATTTTAGGGCAAGGCTGTGGTCAAAGCTCCAAGTACACAGGTGGTCGCGGGGGACACAGGCAGGAGTAGGCTGTAAAACACATGTGGCTAAAGTTTTGAGATTAGCAAGTATATTCATTCCCTGGGGTTGCCATAAAATTATCACCAACTGGATGGCTTGAAACAACAAAAATGGATTTCTCGCAGGAGGCCGGAAGTCTGAAACTGAGGTATTAGCAAGGTTGGGTCCTGGTGGAGCCTCTAAGAAAGAGCCTGTTGAATGTCTCCCAGCTTCTGGTGGCTTCCGGGACCATTGGCGTTCCTCAGCTTGTAGTTACATCACTCTGGCTTCTGCCTCCGCCGTCACAGGGACGTCTCCCTTATGAGTCCTTCTGTATCCTATCCTCTCCTTATAAGGACAGTGGTCATCTGATTTAGGGCTCACCCTAAATCCGGTATGACCTCATTTTAGCTTAAGCACATCCAAATGAAGTCACATCCTGAGGCTCCAGGTAGACATGAATTTTAGGAGGTACCAGTCAACCCACTACTGTGTGTAGAACTTTTTGATAATGAAAAGTAGGAGGCCGGGCATGGTGGCTCAGGCCTGTGATCCTAGCTCTCTGGGAGGCCAAGGTGGGAGGATTGCTTGAAGCCAGGCATTGGAGACCAGCCTGAGCAAGAATGAGACCTGTCTCTACCAAAACTAGAAAAAATTAGCCAGGCCTTGTGACGGAACTGTAGTCCCAGCTATTGAGGAGGCTGAGGCAGGAGGATCACTTGAGTCCAGGAGTTCGAGGTTGCATTCCAGCCTGGATGACAGAGTCAGCCCCTATCTCAAAACAAAATAAAACATAACAGAACAAAATTAGGAGATGATAAATTCAAAATTAAAAATACCTGTGAGCTATGCAGATGAGGTGCACGTGGATTCGGGGCCTCTCCTGCTGGGGCACTGAGGGTCAGCTGTGCAAGAGGAGAGCTGCATCAGTGACTACCAAGGCTGCCTCTGGGGCAGGCCTGTCACACCTGGGAGCCAGTGCTCAGGCATTCCCAGCAGACTGAGCGTGAGATCGTCTTTCCGCCACTTGAAATTTACCAGGGCTCTTGCAGGTCTTGAGTGTAGGTACCGTGCCTTGGCCCTCAAGGTTCTGGGTGAACTGGGCCCTTACTCCCCTCTCCCTCTACCCATCTGGTGAAATAAACATAAAAGACACAACTTTGTGAATAAGCTCCTAGCCGTTATAAGGTAATAAAGGATTGCCAGGGCTGCCTTTGTTCGTTTTAGATTAAGTGCTTGGTCTTCCTGAAGCTCTTGATTCTCCAAAGGCTAAGTTCAGCCTAACGAGGACTTCAAGAAGGCCTGGTTCTCTTCATGGGATAGTCTGGGATCCACAAGCTCCCTAGGAAACAGCCTGTGAACGGCACCAACCAAAATAAACAGCACAAAACATCTCTGCTTCTCAAACACTTTCCCCTCAGATGAGAAGCAGGCTTGCCCAGGAGCGCAGTGTGAAGCTGGGCGCTTTCCGCCGTGTGGAAGAGCTCCGGGGTCAGCTCAGTGAGGCCGCACCATCTTCTGTCCAGATGAGCTCACCAGGCGGTAGGAATATCCCCTCCCCTGGCTAGAGAAATCTCCCCAACCTCTGGGGTCTGAATTGAAGGAGGGTCTCGGTGAATAGCAAAAACAACCTGGTGGTGATGGAGTGGGTCTTCTGTAGTATTTATGAATGACCAAATACACATGAACGAATAAACCTTAATTCTAATTCACGGACAGTCAGAACTTTCTTCTTTAGTTTGCCTTGGAGTACTGACTTCCTATACTCAAAGGTTTTAATGGTAAAATCCAGTCCCAGGGGTGTGTAATATACTATTAAAGAAGCGGTCCCCAACCTTGTTGGGACCGAGAACCAGTTTCATGGAAGACAATTTTTCCAGATAGAGGATGTGGTTTTGCTATGAGTCTGCAAGCAATTGATTTATTATTTGCCGTCAGACCTCTCTGCTAACGATAATCTGTATTTGCAGCCACTCCCCAGTGCCAACATCCCCACCTCAATTCCACCTAAAATCATCAGGCATTAGATTCTCCGAAGGAGCCCTGAACCTAGATCCCTCACATGCACAGTGTACAGTAAGGTTCATGCTCCTGTGAAAATGTAATGCAGAGCTTGGGGGTGGGGCAGGGATGGGGAGCAGCTGTAAATACAGATGCAGTCTCACTCTCTTGTCTGCTGTGTGGCCCAGGTCCCAGCAGGCCACAGACCAATACCGGGGGTTAAGGACTGCAGACTTAACGAACATCAAGTACTCCACTAGATTTGGAAACATCTTAACATGTTAGACCATCAATAACCACATCTCTCTGGTGTTATTCATAAAACACACTATGATTCTTGGGTGCCGGGAGCTTGAAGAGTCCTCTGAAAACAGCAATGAAAATTGACCCCTGGGCTCGGCGCCTATAGCTCAAC